AGACACAGACAAACGAGACAAACAACCATTCACTCTCTCACTCACACCTAGGGACAATTTAGAGTTACCAATCAGCCTAACATGCATGTTTTTGGTCTGTGGGAGGAAACCGGAGTACCCCGAGAAAACCCACACATGCACGGAGAAAACATGCAAACTCCACCCAGAAAGGCCCCCGGACCGGGATTTGAACCAGGGACCTGCTCACTGAGAGGCAGCAGCTCTACCAGTTGCTCCACCATGCTGCTGTCCTCTTTTCAGATTAAAGTAAATTTTGCACGTCATTTATATAATATTTTCAGCCTATAAGTAGCGTTTTTTGCATAATTTGCATGTCCTGTGACTTATATGCCAAAGCAACATATTTATGGATTTTTCCACTTTAATAGACATATTTGGACCGATGTGACTTATAAGGCGGTGCGACATGTATGGCAGAAAATACGGTAGATCAAGGTCCCAGAGTCTGGAGGAAGAGTGGAGAGGCCCATAATCCATGTTGCTTGAAGTCCAGTGTGAAGTTTCCACAGTTGGTGATGGTTTGAGTCCATGTCCTCTGCTGGTGTTGGTCCACTGTGTTTTCTGAAGTTCAGTCAACGCAGCATCTAGCAGGACATTTTAGAGACTTCATGTTTCCTTCTGCTGACGAGCTTTATGGAGATGCTGGTTTCATTTTCCAGCAGGACTTGGCTCTTGCCCACTTTGACAAAGGTACCAAAAGCTGACTGTATATAAGTTTATTTTCTGAAATGATTGATAAAAAAAACTGAACTTTTTCCACAACATTCTGATTTTTGAGATGCACCTTTATAACCTATGGGTGAGAATTTATATTTTCCTACAAATTACAGTTTACCCACAACTTTCATCCCGTTCGAAGCTTGAGCGGTTTAAACTGGAAACTCATGAAGTTTCAACTTTGATGGAATGGGTCAAATTTGAATACAATGATTATAAAAACTCTTCTTTTATTTTAAATAAATAAATCTAGTGGCTTCTCAACTCATGCAGAGCCATTATGGAGTTTGTTTATGATGAGGTGCTGCACATTTATATCAAAAATAGTTGGTTCGTATTGTTTCTCCTTTAAAAACTGATGCCAGGGATACCTCAACATGAATCAGTGGAGGGTACACAAAATTCATCTGAGTCTTGTGTTTCCATTCATTTTATCATGTCTGAACAGAAATGGTCCACATGCAGAAATCAAAGTGTCTGGTCACTGGTTGAACAACCTTGTTTGTGACACAATTACACTTTATTTCTCATTATTGAATTCATAACAAGGACAGAGAATGGAAAGACCCTTGGAGGCCCACTGGATACAACCAGTTGGAGCTCCTGTTTTCCATATTTACAGACCCTTTCCAAAAAATTAGAATTTCATGGAAAAGTTGTTTAACTTCCGTAATTCCATTCAAAAAGTTAATCTTTAATAGATGATCAGGGCCCACCATTTAAACAATTTCAAGTATTTATGTGTTTGTTTTTACATAATTTGGGCTTCCAGCTCATGAAACCCACAAAAACAGGATTTCAAAAAAATTTGAATACTGTAAACCCACATTACTCAGTTTTTGCAGAAAAAAAATAGGATCACAACAAATCAATCAAAATATAGTACTTTCAAAACGATATGTCAATCTTCAATACTTGGTTGGGAATCCTTTGCCTGCCTCGATGTGACGTGGCATTGAGGCAATCAGCCTGTGGCATTGACTGGGAGTTATGGAAGCCCAGATTTCCTTGATGCTTGCTGTCAGCTCTTCTTTGTTGATGGTCTGGTGTCCCTCATTTTCCTCTTGAGAACACCTCATAGATTCTCAATGGGGTTTAGGTCTGGTGAGTTGTCTGGCCAGTCAAACACTGTGACACGGGCATCAAACCAGGTTTTGGTGCTTCTGGTGGCATGGGCAGGGGCCAGATCCTGCTGGAAGATGAAATCTGCATCTCCATACAGATCCTCAGCAGAAGGAATCATGAAGTCCTCTAAAGCATTCTGGTAGATTGTTGCAGTGACCTTGGATTTACGAAAACAGAGTTTACCAACACCTGCACCGAACATTGCACCCCAAATCATGACTGACTGTGGATATTTCAGACTGGACCTCAAGCGGTATGGGCTCTGTTCCTCACCCTTCTTCCTCCAAACCCTTGGACCTTGATTTCCGAATGAAAGGCACACTTTACTTTCATCGGAAAAGAGGACCGAGGAACCCAACAGTTGTAGCCCGTCTCCTGGATGCGTCTGAATGTGATGGTTTGTGAAGCTGTGACTCCCGCCTCATTCCACTCTTTCTGGATCTCTGCCAGATTCTGGAATCTTCTCTGTTTGATAATCTGCTGAAGCCCAGTCATCTCTTTTGTTAGTGCATCTTCTCCTGCCACATTTTGCCCTTCCACTAGACTTTCCATTGATATGCTTGGACACAGCACTCTGTGAACAACCAGCCTCCTTAGCTATGAACTTTTGTGGCTTACCCATCCCATGGAGGGTATCAATGATGGTCTTCTGGCCAGTTATGTCTGCAGTCTTCCCCATATTGAACTGAACTGAGACAATTGAATCAAACGGAAGCAATTTAATGACACCTGGGGAAACCTGTGCAGGTGCTTTGAGTTTAGTAGATGATTAGTGTCACACTCAGTTTAAAACATCATGCCCTGAAAAATTTGGGCTGATTTCTCCACAGTATTCTAATTTTTTTGAAATCCTGTTTTTGTGGGTTTCATGAGCTGGAAACCCAAATTATGTAAAAAATAAACAAATACTTGAAATCATTTAAATTGTGGGCCCTGAATCTATCACCTATTAAAGATTAACTTTTTGAGTGGAATTATGGAAGTTAAACAACTTTTCCATGATATTCTAAGTTTTTGTAAAGGGTCTATATGCAGATGGTTAGCTGTGTCATTCACATCCCTCAAACCCAGAGACAGAAACAGATTTACAAACTACTTGTCTGACCTTGTTCTGACATTCACCCAGTGTTTCAGCTCAGGACGGAAACTTGAAACAGAAACGTCTTGTCTGAGCGCCCTCTTTATGTAACACTTTTCCATGACTTGCAGACTCCTTGCTGCGGTTTGAATTAGCCTGCTAATACACATTTAGATCGTCTAGTCTAAAACCAGCTGTTTGCCTTTTGAGGAACTGAAGCTGTTTTTAAGTAGATTTAGATCTTACCTGTACTTGCAGAGGCTATTTGTAAACACCTTCTCTATTCTTAGCAGGTAGTGAGGATAATTATAGCAGGCTGAGTTGTAGCATAGTTGAGTCAGTTTCTTAATAGACTTTCATTAAGCCCATCTATTAATATCTGCTGTGAATCCGTGAAGCAGAGGTATTAATTTTGAAGTTTAAAACATCAATAACAATAGGGTTTTTAACAGCTTATGTTTAAAACAGACCACTTTAGTAAAATGTCAGATGTTAATAAATTCATTCAGTCTTTTTTATTATGTTGTCTATTCAGTCTACTAAAATCACCTGTGGGGTTTCTGAGAGACGCACCTGAGCTAGACGAGACTATTTAAGTTTTTTAGCCCCTGTAAGCTTGTTATACACACTAAGCAAAGTTAAAGTGTCAGTGTTTCTAAAGGCTAATGATTGTAGTGACACACTATCAAGTTTCTGGAGTTAGCTCAGATACACACTTTTACTGTCACTGAACCAACACAGGCAGGGTACTTTTAAACCTCTGCTGTAATGTTTTATACATATTTAACCTTTCTGTCTGCATTATGAACTTTTCCAAAACGTTCTCAGTAAACAATCTGCATGACAATAAAGTAGTAATAGAGTTGTTTCCATGGAGTTGGGCATCTTGACGTCTTAACTTTATAATATTTAAGCTCAAAGAGTCTGAAGAAGACTGCTGCTTGTATTTAAGTGCTCCAGGAGTTATGGTCAAATAGCATATCTTTGTGTTTTAAAATTTAATTAATTTTTTCTTAGAAACACATTTTTGGACTCAATTTCAGTTGAATATTTTTTTAAACGTTTGAGTCAGGTTTTTTTTTTTTTTTTTTTCATAATGTGGTTGCACAAAGAAATAGTTGTTTATTATTATTATTATTATTATTATTATTATTATTATTATTATTATTATTATTATTATTATTGCATTGCTTCTTCAGTCTGGCTAAAGTCAGGACAGGAAGGCTCAAATATAAAAGAAAAAAAGAACATAACTTCAATAATTTAAGGTCAAAAATTTTGTGAAGAATGCATATTACACTCACTCACACAGACAACAAAGCATTACTGCCCTTCCTCCCTTTGGTGGAGGGTGAATGACATACTTGATAAAGGCTTTTTATGTTCATTCAGTGTCTTTTGTTAAAGTTTTTTTTAGCTCTCCTGTTATCTGGACCAGTAGAGTAGATGAAGTCAGACTTGTGGAAAACCATTTAAAAACCTAGTACAGTAATGGGTTTATTTTTAACTGAGCACTAATAAAAAACTGTAGTTGCCCCAATTATGCTTTGACCCCTCAATCCTGCTCTTTTTCTGGGTGTCCATGCTGTGCATCCATTGAGCCGGGGACATGATTCAGGTCCTTTAAGAAGGTGAGACAAACTTCAGGTCCAGGGTGTGATTTCTTTTGTAACTTGGCTCTTAAACGAGACGTGACCCTGCATGCACACTGTTCCCACTTCACCTTCACAAAGGGACACAAAAAGAAGAACCCATCCTTTTTGAGCTTCCCTTAATGGTGCTCTGAAGTGTGAGAGTAAGCACAGATGCCAGATTTTGTTGATGACATGTTACTGTATGTGACAAATTTGTGCTCCAGAAAAAAAAACAGGGCAAAAATATGTGAATGTTTTGTTCTTTCTTATTCTACTGCGTTTTAATTTGGTGAAAACCTCAAAAGGAGGCTTGCTAAAAAAGAACAGTGGCAAATCTCATCTCTCTCTCTTTTCCTGGAATTAAAGTATTTTGCTCAACTAACGCTGCAGGTGCTCATTCATCTTTTTTCTTTCCTCCTGCACAGTTCAAACTCCCACAGTCCGTCTCCACCGAGCAGCTCAAACGCCTACAGTCTGCTGAGCTCAGAGCAGGACAACCCTTCGACCAGCGGCTGCAGGTTAGTGCACGGACCTCATAACCAAAGCAGCTTCCAAAATCCTATAAGTCATGAAATACTGCTCACATTTTTAGCTTGTTTTTGGAGCACTTTAGTCTCCCTTAGTATCTTAACTGAAACTTGGCTTGTTCACGTGTCCACCTTGCAGTAGTGAGGAGTCTGCAAAAGCTAAAAATCAAAAGGAGGTGATTAAAACTCTGAAAGAGCTGAAGCTTCACGTGCCAGCTGACAAGAAACACAAGTCCACCACACTGAACACCCTCAAGTATGCCCTCCGCTGCGTCAAACAGGTTGAAGGTCTGTAATGCATTTAAACAATCTATTTTTGTCTTTTTAAAGTTGACTAACTTCACATTAGACACATTCACATTACATAAACATCTTTTTGGACAATTCAACACCACAGAAAAAGAAATGTGTGTAAATTTGCACCAGAAAAGAAAAAAAACTTTGAATGTTTAATTAAGTTTCTGTTTGTCAGTAAATGTGTGGGTAGAGGTTCAGTGCTGCAAGTGGCATTACAAAATGTGAAATATTTCATTGTCACTCTGTCATTTTTTATCATAATAAATCAAATTTAAAAGTACAAAAACATAACAAACAGGGAAGCAATAGTATGCTTTCCTGTTTTTTATGTTTTCTTACGTTATTTATGTTTTATTATTTACAACTGAATTACTGAAATGTTTGAGGAAAAAGAATAAACTATATAAGCAATATATATCAAATCCCACCCCTCTTTCCCATAGTGTTTATAAGTCTTACAGGAATAAATATAATTTTCTTATTAAAGCTAAAAGAAGAAATATTTTAGTGGTAAATTGAAGTGTTGCAGTGATATTAAAGCTACCTGGGAAGTGTTGAATCAGTTGTTACAAAGAGAAAAAAGAAACCAGTGTTATTCTTTTTGCAACCTAATTATTATTTTTTTGTTTTCTGTAAGTTTTGTACTTTTTAAAAATCTACAAATATTATCCACATAGAAATATACTGAACGCTCTTTAATTTCTTCAAAAATGTTCTCTTTAAAATATGCTACAGCAAACTTGTTTGATTTTTGTATTTTAATGCTACTTTTGATATTAAGCTAACATTTAGCTCCTGATAGCTTTTAGCTAATGTTCTGCTTTTCTTGGCTTTAACAGTTTAGTTTCAGCTTCTTCAGCAAGTTTTAGCGAAGTCATTCAGGACTCACACTATTTCTCCAGTTGTCTTTGTATGTAGAGGCTTACTCGTTGATTTTTTTTAATTCTACTCAATGTTTTGTAAGGAAGTCCATTTTGTGTTGCATTGCCTGAATTCAAACAAAATGTTTCTTCTTTCTTGCAGCCAATGAGGAGTATTACCAGCTGCTGATGAGCAATGACAGTCAGCTGTCAGGCCTGGACGCTTCTTCTTATACAATAGAGGAAATAGACAGCATCACTTCTGAATACACCCTCAGAAACAATGTGAGAATTGTTCTTTTAAATTTAGCAATAACTGAAGTGAAACAGTTATGTAAAACCAAACAAAAAAACATTTATGCTTAATTTCAAATGTATGTCAACAGGATATTTTTGCAGTAGCCGTATCTTTGATCACCGGACGGATCATCTACATTTCCGACCAGGCTGCCTCCATCCTCAGCTGCAAACGAGAGGTGTTCCACGACTCTAAGTTTGTGGAGTTTCTGATACCGCAGGATATCAGCGTGTTCTACAGCTTCACAACACCTTACCGCCTGCCCTCTTGGAGCATGTGCACAGGAGCAGGTACCAAAACTAAACATCTCTCCACAAATTTTATTGAAGAGCTTTGCGATAAATTTCATTGATTAACATTTGGATCCAACTCAAGCTGACCTTCACAGCTAATTGACTGTAGAAAACACAAAAAATGGCTATAACTCAGTCTGTCACTGGACGTGTGAAATCACAAAGCACTGAGTCAGATAACATTTTCTAACGTTTGCTTCAAAGCAAATCTCCTCCCTTCATTGTTGCACTTTACGTCCAGTTTATTAAACTGGTGGTGGTGGCTCTTTAGTTTAGCATGAAAGAACAGATTGAGCTTTGTGGGCACAACTGGAAAATAAATATTCACAACTGATTCCTATCTTAAATACTGCCTCTGTCACACAGCTGGAGCTGCATTTTCTTCCTTGTTATCTCAACCTTCCTGGAAAATCTCTGGTTAGCAAACCAAATTAGGAACTTTGTTTAAATTCATTGCAAATACAGGATGTTCAGGTCTGCTCCCTTAAATTATGTTTTTTAATGCAGTCATTCAAAGCTCATGCACCTATAGAAGCCCAGATCCTGGCAGTCATTTAACTGGACCACGCTGCCTTTGAATTAAAACGTTTATTTTTTTCCATTTCAGAGTCATCTCCCTCCGACTGCTTGCAGGAAAAGTCCTTTTTCTGTCGTATCGGGTGAGTTTGTGTTGCTTCCGACACACTGTCAGGCCATCTGCTGCTCGTACCGTTTTCTAGTTTATATTTATACTTTCAATCCAGTGGAAAGGATTTTTAAATTAGTTTGTGACATCATAAGCGTAAAACTTGTAAATGGATGCTTTTTCCAGGTCATCGTTACACATGTACACACACAAGTTAAAAGTACACATTTGTTCAGGTCCAAAAAAGTTCAATCTGGTCCTCTGGACATCCAGAGGACCAGATTGAACTTTTTTGGATTTTTCTACTTGGATTATTGAGCATGCATCAGGATATTTGTTCAGGTGCTGCACTGATTTGATTTTTCCTTTTCAAATGTCGTCTGATGTTAAATGAAGTTATCTGCTACAACTGGTTTTGTTCTCTAAGCAGAACACGTCAACATGCATCGCTTTCTTTTAATTCCTTCACATTAGCCTTAAGAACAGCTAAGAGTGCCCTCCTTTGTAAAGTATTTGTATATACTCGATTAGAACATAATTTTCCTTTGGTTAAGTTTGTCCTTCTGCCTCTTCTTCAGCGGTGGTAAAGAGTGTGAGGGTGAGCTGCGGTATTATCCTTTCCGTATGACACCTTACCTGATGAAGGTCCAAGACACAGCTCATGCAGAAGACCAGTTCTGCTGCCTCCTGCTGGCTGAAAGAGTTCACTCCGGATATGATGGTAAGGAAACATCATGAGGAAAATGTTATTTGATATCTGTTTTTGTACAATAATTACTGTAGCTTGCATATAAACAATAAAAATGTTAAATGCTCAGTAATAAAACTTGAAAATCTTTCTCACAGCCCCCAGAATTCCAACAGACAAACGCGTTTTCACCACCACGCACACGCCGAGCTGTGTGTTTCAGGACGTAGATGAGAGGTAAGGCTTTAATGCTGAGTATTTCCTCTGAAGTCATTTATTTTTACATGCACAAGTCTAACAAACATGGCATGATCTTTACTTACCAGGGCGGTTCCTCTCCTCGGATATCTGCCCCAGGATCTTATCGGAACCTCCGTCCTTCTCCACTTGCATCCCAATGACCGCCAGGTCATGCTGGCCATTCACAGAAAGAGTGAGTCTACTCAATCCAACTCTTCAGGGTAAACTCTTGTTTGAGTTTTATTGATTTCCTTTCTTTTTCCTCTGCAGTCCTTCAGTTTGCAGGGCAGCCGTTTGACCACTCATCCATCCGCTTCTGTGCACAAAACGGAGAATACATCATCCTAGACACCAGCTGGTCCAGTTTTGTGAACCCCTGGAGCCGAAAGGTCTCATTTGTTATCGGGAGGCACAAAGTCCGCATGTGAGTTTTACTCCTGAATTATCTCACTGTACTTATAGACTCAGTCCAAACTAAAGAGTCATCCAGTCATTAAGGATCAATGGTTCAGGTCCTCTCCCCTCCCTCTCATAAACACCACTTTACCCCTGGTGTTCTTATAGGTGTGTATGGGGGGGGACATGTACAGTAGTCCCTCGCTACTTCGCGGTTCGTTTATCACAGGTTTGCTATATTGTGGATTTTCAAAATAAGATTGGACATGACACAATTGGCTGATTGATGGATGAGCCATGGGTTGTTTATTTAAAATACAATATTTTAAATGATTTTGCACCGTGTGTGAAGCTCACAAGTGCAAGGGAAAGCTCCCTCCTGCAGCAGATCAGCTGATTTCCTCCTCTGACAACAGCACGTGCCTCTTTGTTAACCCTTTGCTGTCCAGATGCACCATCAACTTTTGTCTTCAAACTTAAAATCAAAGTATGTCACATCGTAAAAATCATCACAGTCACAACATATAAAAGTGTTAAAAGTTATTTAAATTATTTTAGGACGTCTATGTTCAGCTGTTGAAGTGTAATTGATCAAGAAGTACATTTCTGCTCTGTGCTGCAGAGCTGAAGCTGTGTGACATCTCTTTGATGTCCTGCTTCACTTCTCTTCTCTACAATTTAAATTTAAATACTGTAACATTTTAAATAAACAATTCATGTTGCAGGGATTGTTTATTTAAAATATTACAGTATTTAAATTGTTTATTTAAGGAGGAGATTGGGAGTAACAGGTGATGAGTGTGATTACAGCCTGGCACATGCCATGACAAAGTTTACTGAACTTGGACTGAACTTGAACTTGGACTACTGTATCCCTTTTTCTCTGTTTTTCACTTATCGCAGGTGGGCGTGGTCCCAAACACCTGCGATAAACGAGGGACTAATGTATAGAGGAAAAACTGCTTTAAAAATGCATGTCTTAATTAGTGTGAATGACAAACCAATCCAAATTGATTATAAACATAAAGTATAACTTTTCACCACCTAACGCATGCAGTAAGTGCCGTTGTTTTAAATGCTGAAATGTGTGTTGTTTTTTTTCCCCCAGGGGACCTATGAATGAAGATATTTTCCTGCCCCCCGTCTCATCTGTTGGCCAAATGAAGACCATGGACTCTGACATCCAGGAGATATCTGAGCAGATCCATCGGCTCCTGCTACAGGTCAGACAAGATCAAATTAAACAACTTAAGGAGGAACAAAGAACGACTAAATCAGTCAAAGATGCTTACATTTACAGTAAAAAGATTTGACGTTTTACTTAAAAAAAACATAGAAATTTAACAAAAATAAATCATTTGAGTGGGAAATAGATTAAATCTGAAATGTCTTCATCTAATCCTTTATAAACTCTTTTTCCCGCTGTCTGTATTTCTAACCAGCCGGTTCATAACAGTGGGTCCAGTGGCTACAGTAGCCTGAACAGCAATGACCACCTGCAGGGAATGACCTCCTCCAGTGAGAGTCTGAACAATGGCAACGGGAGCAGCATGCAGCAGGAAGGAGGGGAGCCGAAGGGCAAAAGCAGGCCTGTAAGCAAATCTGTAGAACAAGTCCAAAACCACGGCACATTTTTATCTAAATCTTGTAACTTAATGTCCAAAACCACCTGTCACAGCGAACGTTTCAGGAAATCTGTAAGGGAATTCATCTTCAGAAGAGCCAGGAGCAGATCATCAAATCAGAAAACAAAGAAAGCAGTGGTAGTAAGTCCTTTTCTAATGCACGTCTTATTGTGACATTTACATCTATCAGATCTTAATTCCTGGTCTTTTTTCAGTAGCGTCTGTACAGAACAGCCAAGCTGTGGTGCGACCCAAAGACTCAGCCCATCTAAACTGGAAGGAGACATCTGTGGAGGAGAGGAGAGCTTCTTCCCAGCAAGAGCTGTCCCTTAACGATCAGACTGTTTACTCCTACCAGCAAACCAGCTGTCTGGACAGCGTTATCAGGTACAGAGATAAAGACTGAAATGTTTTCGTGAAGCATTGCCAGATCATAATTCATGCTACTGCTTTGTGATCAATGCAAGCTTCACATTACTTTTGTTTTTCTTCAGCTTGACGTCTGTGTTGTGATTGACTCCTGTAGGTACTTGGAAAGCTATACCGTTCCTGTTATCATGAAGAGAAAATGCCGTTCTTCCTCCAACACCACCTCTTCTAACTCAGATGAGGACAAACAGAAAGACTCCTTGCAGGTTTCTGAAGGTAAGTAACGCCGCCGTTCACTCACTTAAAGAAAAACATAAACGTGTTTTAATCTCCTCAAACAAAGCTTATTGCCTCATAAGGCATTCAGTCTTCCCTTTACACTTCTCTCTCAGATTTGGACATGCCAGTTTTTTATCAGTAGCTCTTCTTCTCTGTTCTCTTTGGCAGAACCAGCCTTATTGAAGGATCAGTCTGGTCTCTCTGCTTTGGATGACGCTGAAAAAAAGTCCGGTGATGCGCCCATGGCGGTAGCGGGCACTTCGATGCCCCTACCTGTTCCAAACAAACCAGAAAGTGTGGTGTCCATCACCAGCCAGTGTAGCTACAGTAGCACTAAAGTGCATGTTGGGGACAAGAAACCTCAACCAGAGTCAGGTACAGTGGTGTGAAAAATACGGACCTCCAGCCTGAATCTTTCGATTGTTTCATATTTTTCATACTGAAACTCTGAAACTGGTGACAAACTGAATGAAGGTGCTCTTTAAGTTTAACATGCTCCTGCGTATAGGTTCATGTGGCAATTTAAAAACCTTTTGGCTCTTATTTGCTCATATTGCTGTGAATGGAAAATTATTTCTCAACCTAATTTTAGTTGACTTGATCTTTATATTATATTTTGAGGATCTAAATCAGTGTGAAAAATATCAAACAATGAAAGTAATTTTAAAAAGAGGTGATTGGTTTCACAGCACTGTAATTTTCATGTTTTTGTGTGTGCACCTTTACGTTTGCGTATTTGTTTGCTTGGCAAGTGGTACCGCAGACTTTTGTTTTCTTCAGCTCTGCTTGTTGTGTGCAACCGTTGGCAGGATTTAGAGTTAGCATATCCTTCACATTTTCATCCAAAACTTTAGGATTACAGAGCAAAGCTTGTCTTATTATTTTAATTATTAGTTTCAGTATTTTTATGAAGAATAACTAAACCTAAACAGGATCACAGCTGCATATTTTGGACTGTAATCATCAAGCAGATTATCAATTTATCAGCTTATAAGTGTTTTTAATGTACTGTTTGTCACACGGTCACAGCCTTGGAATACCAACTGAATGTTTTCGTTTCACATTTAATTAAACAACATGTTATTATAAGTTTCTAACGTGATGAATAGAAAAACTAAAGTCTACGGATTTGTTATGTTTATATATCAATATGTATTAGATTTAAGTCTAAAATACTACAGAAATTATTACATGAAGTGCATGTTTAGCTGAATTTTTTTTTTAATGCACCATTTTTTTATACAGATAACAAAACGTTTAGTCAATCAAACGTATTTTTTCCACAACAGATTGATTTTTCACAGTAATCCTTCTGTAAAAAGAGCACATGCATTCAATTAGACAATGGGTTGTTAAAATGTCCCTCAGCTGGAGACAAGAAAGACTCTCTGTCATTCAAAACTTGAGCTCAGAAACAAAAACTAAATTATTACTCAGTTTATGGTCTGATTTTTTTAAGGCATCCGGCTCATTACTCTATAGAAAATGGCTATATTTCTAAATTAGCTGAAATTTTACAGAAGTGGAATCTTTAATAAATGACAAAAAAAAAAAAGTATATTCATTTGCATTTGTGTATGAGTGCATATATAAACTTGTTTCAAGCTTATTCAACTTCTAGTGTCCGTGCAACATGTCTAACTCACATTTGTCCTGCATCTTATCCTCTGTCTTAAATACATGAGTTGCAGCTAACAGCAGGTTTTTACTGTTCTGTTGCTAAACGCTGTTCCTCATTTGTGACTTTGGATACATCCGTCTGCTGTATGACTTAATGTGACTCTGTGAACTCTGGGTATACCTGTTCCAATGCAATCTTCTAATCTGCATCGCTTTGCTTGTCACCACTGCTAACATGCTATATCACACAAAACATCATCATTTTTGTCTCACTGTCTTCCATGCAGAGACCACAGAGGACGTGGCAGGAGCAGCAGAATCCATCCAGAACCTCGGCGCTCCTCCTCGAGCTGTTTCACCACCCAGTCAGGAGAGGGAGCCCTACAGGAAGCTGGGTTTGACTAAGGAAGTGTTGGCAGCTCATACTCAGAAGGAGGAGCAGGCCTTTCTGTATCGCATCAAAGAGCTTCGAGGACTCGCCGCCCTCCAAGCGAACTGCTCTCACACTCCGGATCACCACAGAGACGAGATCATCACTGATGGTACTACTAAACACCAGTTTGCTGACTCGCTTATTACTTCAAATTTAATTTGCCATCGCTCTGTTAAAACACAAACAAAACAACAGCATGACATTTTTCTGCACAAATAAGACTTAATGCAGTTTCACACTCCTTGACTTTCTTAATGACTCGCTTACCAGACAGTTTACATGTAGGTAGTAACAGCTCTACTAAAGAAGAACAAAAATAAAAAACACCAAACTTACTTCATTTCTTTACAAGCTAATTGAGCAGAACTGTATTTTTATTATTTTTGTTTCATTACATGTTTTGGAATCAATAAATTCATAGGTTTAACATACTTGCAATGGTTTTAAACGCATCAGAGATTTTAGGATAAAATTAAAAAGGACAAAAGTCAGGCTTATTCATCGTTCCCTAATTTTCTTTGACTTTCCAGCTGCACGTGCCGCTCCTCCCTGCAAACAGGAAGAGCCGAGCACAGAGCCGAGCACAGAGCCAACCGCGCGCCGAGGATCCCGGACCAGGAAGACCAAGTCAAAAAGAGCAAAGCTCAGCTCTTCTGCTGCGTCTCATCACAGACATCAGCCTCCTCAGTCGAACCACGGACTCCAGCAGACCCTGTGGCCTCCCTCTGATGCCTCACAGTGCACTTTCCCCGTGCTGTATCCTGTTGTGCTGCCAGGCTACCCCCTGCAGGCTCACCCCAGAACAGACTCCACGTCTCCCCACGCAGAAGCCACTCCACAAATTTTTACAGATAACCATGGTGCCCAAGCTCCTCCTTGTTCCCCTTCCTTTCTTTCTGCTCCTTACACCTCTCATATGGTCACCCCTGTTGTGGCTTTAGTCCTCCCCAATTATTTATATCCTCTAATGGGCCCCGGACATCCACCACCACCATCAGTGCCAGTTGATCAGGTAGAGACAGGGGGCAACCCCACCCAAATGCAGACTTTTGATCCAGGACAAGGCACTTTCATGTCTCCGCCTGCCTTTAGTGGTCCGAGTCCGTTCAACACTCAGAACTATTTAACTCCTCTAACAAGCTGCCTGTCTCCACCATTCTGCTTCCCGGCTCCACCTGAAACCCCGAAGCCCCAGTTGGAGAGCCTCTCTCGCTCCTCCACGCCACAGTCCAGTGAAAGTGGAGGCCAGACGTCCCCACCCTTGTTTCACTCTCGCTGCAGCTCACCCCTCAATCTGCTGGAGCTCGAGCTGTCTGTGGACAGACAGGACAACCTGGCGCTCTCTTCAGGAGGACAAGGACATAGCATGGCTGAGAGGGAGAAAGGAGCAAGTGGCGTCCAGGCCAAGGAAAGAGAACTTAAACAGGTAAACAAACAAACTAACTAACTAACCTCCCTTTACTTATTCTTATTCTTCTTCTTCACCCACAATGTTTGACTTTCCCCTTCTGTGACCATCACAGACGGATTAAAGAACAAAACACTGAAAAATGCCAATCTGGCCTGTTTAAACAACTTTAGACAGGTTGTAATGTATTCCCCAGGACTTTCAATCAAATGTCTTCATCATTTGGGGCTTAATCCCATCATTACAAAGATTAAAACTTAATCTGTAAGTTTTTAAACTGCTATAGGTTTTCTACAGTTGATTTGCAATTCCATGTGTAAAGTGAGTTAAGTCTCCTTAGATAAAATGTGGCGCCGGGTGTTAATGCTATCATTATCCCTTACACCCTTTAGCCCTCTCTCAGTCTCCTTGGTCCACCAGGACCCTTGTATTTCGAGCCCACATCGTTTGTCTGTGAGGGTTTGTCTTGGGATAAAGTGTGGGCTAGGCTGGTGGCTTGCAGCAAAGAGGTAGGCCAATCACCCGAAAACCTCAACATTTATCAAATTCCATTGCTTCCAGATTACATGTCAGCTGTAACAGATTCTCTTTTCTATATTCACCTGTGGTTTACGTTTTAACATACGCTTTTATTAAGATGAGGCTGGCATGGATTTATCTTTACCTGCTTCTTCCTTTCCGAGTCACGGGAGTCGATGATACCCATGTCCAGCAGTCACTGTTCAGAGCTGTCCACACCCTGGACCAGTCGCAAGTCCATCACAGGGACACAGAGACAAACAAGTCAAACAACTATTCACACCTAGAGAGAATTTAGAGTTACCAATTAGCCTACGGTAACCAGCATGTTTTTTGATCTGTGGGAGGAAACCCATGCAAGTCCATAGAGACCATGCAAACTCCACCCAGAAAGGTCTCCAGCCATGATTTAATCACGTCCTTGTTGCTGAGAGGCAACAACTGTGCCACCCTGCCACCCCAACAATCAATTTCAAGTAGGTTTATTTACACCCAAAAATAGCAAAAATATAAAGTGTAAAAAGAAAATGTAAATAAGGATCTAAGATATACATTAAACAAACGCCAAACGCTATGCTAATAGATCTAATATACACTAAGATATACGCTAAACACTGATAATTAAAAACAATACAGTGAACAACAGCAGCCCGAACATGAGTGTGTGAGCAGATGGGTACAAATGAATACAGCAGCATGAATAATCAGCAGCACAGATAAGTCGCATATCACCAATTAAAGTGGCATGAGAGTGATTTTTTTTTCACATGATTATTCTGGTTAGATATTCATGAGTCTAACAGCCTCAGGGTAGAGACTGTTCCTCAGTCTAGTGGTTCTACACTTAATACTCCTCAACCTGAGGGTATCGGGGAAAAAAGTGTGTGTGCTGGGTGAGTGGGGTCCTTCATGATGCAGGTGGCTCTCTTCCTGCATCTAGAGGTGTAGATGTCTGTGATGGTGGGGAGACTGACTCCAACAGACTTCTGTGCAGCCTTCACCACTCTCTGCAAAGCTTTTCTTTCTGCAGCTGTGCAGCCTCCATGCCACATGTTGATGCTGGAGCACAGGATGCTCTCCACTGCACACCTGTAGAAGGAGGTGAAGACTGAGCTTCCCAGACCAGCTCTTCTCAGCCGCCTGAGGAAGTGGAGTCTCTGATGAGCTTTCTTGATCAGGCTGGTAGTGTTGTTGCCCCAGCTGAGGTTGTCATTCAGGTGTACACCCAAGTACTTGTAGCTGGAGGCCACTTCCACCGCAGATCCTCCTATGTTTGGGGGTGCTGGGGAGGGGGGGGGGGGGGCAGTTGCTCTGTCTGAGATCCATAAATCCAATTTATGCATATATTGTTTGATAAGTTTTTTCTCACTTCCATTAAATTCAGTTAATTTATATAGTGCCACTTCACAGAACAAGCATTCACATATTTTATTCATTCATTCATTCATTCATTCATTCAACCTTTATTTAGACATAAAATGCCAGTTAGTAAAAGTTATCTGTCTAAGGAAGCCAGCAGATCGCTTCAAATCTCCACTTTGTCTCCACAACCTCCTGTCCTGAGCAGGCGGCAGCAGAAAGAAATGATTTCCTTTTAACAGAAAGAAACTTCCAGCAGAACGGGGCTCAGGATACGCTGCCACCTGGAACAGAGAAGTGATGCAGACAAACACAAAATGGCTGCTTGCTTCAGGAGTACTTCATGAGCAGAAAGACAAAGAAAAACACACATTAATGATAATAAATGACAAATTCAAACATGAACAGTAGAGTGAGTAACTTGACCATTTAACAAAAACAATATTCATTTGAGCATTGTCAGGTCCTGTACAGAAAATGAGTAAAAAAGAAGCTGAAAAGCCTTGAACGACCTTCAGAAAGTCTACAGAAAACCATTTAAAAAGATTAAAAGGAAGTGTGACTCCTTGAAAGAAAAATGTGAAGATGACCTAAGACTTTTCTCAGTACTGAGTGAACTGTGCATTTTGCTCTTTAGCCATGAGAATAAATAAGCACCATCCGTTCTGTCAGCGCCCCTGCTGACACGAACACTTCATGAACACACTGACGATGTTCCACCTGATAAATGGTTTGCTGCAGCATCAGGGCCGGAGCAGAACGGTGTAGCTGCTCTTCAATGGTGACACGTCCACCTTTGTGTTTCCACAGAGGAGTTCACACGATGAAACCAACAACAGCGACGCCAACTCTACATCCAGCGACATGTTGGACATCCTTCTTCAAGAGGACTCCTGTTCGGGCACTGGCTCAGCCACCTCTGGGTCCATGGGCTCGGGGTCCAATGGCTGTGGGACTTCGGCCAGCGGGATGTCTAAGAGCAGGACGTCAGCTAGTCCAGCATCAGGCAGCTTTGCAGGTCTGCACACAACCTACACCGTCAGCCAAACCTCTACGTTTTTATTGCAAAAATAAAAGTACAAATATAATACGTTAAAGATACTTGTTTTATTTAATGTAAAAAACAATGCTATATTTTTTTTCCATCAAATGATTTATGCACAACTACATTATTTAACGTTGTTTTAACTGTAGAAACGTCTGCTTTTTGTCTGTTGTCAGGAAGCAACAACAGCAGTAAATACTTCGGCAGCGTGGACTCGTCACAGAGCAGCCAGAAGGTCAAAGGTCACCTGAGAGGCGGCGAGGGAGGGTCCGAGGAGACGGAGCAGAGTGGACGGGTCATAAAGTGTGTGCTGCAGGACTCGATGTGGCTGCTCACGGCCAAGGCCGATGAGAAGGTCATGATGACCTACGAGCTGCCATCGCGGTGAGTCGAAGAGCGTGGACGCAGCCAGCGAGGAGACAGATGGAGATCATGCTGTCGCTGTGCTTTCACGTGTTATCAGCCATGTTTGTTTGTGAAGGTTAAGGCAAATATTAAGGTTAACAACCCTGAAGTCCTCTCCATCTTATCCTCTTCAAATCTGAGCTAAAGTATCTGACAAAATGCTAACAGTCCGTGCCCACATTACATCCTGCAATGGCCCTGCAGCATTTGTTATCTGGGGTCAAATAAAAATCTCTTTTCATGGTGGTGTCTTATTTATAGTATTGTTCTTATCTACTTCATATTGCTGTATTAATGTATTGCACTGATTTTAAAACTGTAGGATGTGATTTTAAAAAAACCTGGGAGGCATATTGGCATTAAACAGAGAGAAAGATACTCTATGGATATGTGTTGTTGTTTTAATGCTGTAGACAGAACTAATGTTTCACCATAAAATGTTATGACTCTGGCGTGTTTTCAGCCATCACAATAAAAAACTAAAACGTATGGAATTACAGTAATTATTTTAGAGATAGAAACGTGTTTGTGTTGTATACGAAAACGAACCGTTGACAGTATGTCTTGGAGGAAAAAAAAGACATCACCAAGCATTGCATCCCAAACACAATGAACCCAAGCAGAAAAATCACTTTAGAACTCCCATCAATAAACAATGAAGCACCAACGCTGCAATAAAATGGCATTACCCTCACACATTAAGAACATGATATTTCATGCTAAATCTCCAGAGTTAATGTAAACATATAAAAAGTGGAAACAAACCCTCTGCAGCCACTAATACTGGGAAATATTAAGCTTTTATGTTGGATTACTTTGCACACATTGAACTTCACTGTGTGGTTCTGAAAAGATGATTGCACATTAAATCTTTCTATTTATTTATAAATAAGCACACGCTGTTTTAGTTCTTGTTACTTTTCTAACAAAAGGCAGTTCTTACATGAGCTTTATTTTGAAATAGCTGCCACAAAGAGGAGCAATGCAGTGACAAAATGACCCCCCACCCCATATAAAAATTAGACTTTTTGTGTTACTGTTGAGGTGGAAGATCTGTTAGAGTCTGCTGTAGAGTTTCTTCACCACTAGGTGGCAGCTTCATTTTATCAACACAAGCCTGACAATGACGTCACCATCCTAAAGGCGTTTGTTCTGTAAATTAGCAGGGATCTTAATTTGGAAATTGAGCCAACATGACTTTAATAACTCCTAATCATTTTTTTTAATCAAAGCTTTTCTGTTTTAACTTTACTAGATCTTTCAGCTTTTTAAACAAATCATGAGTCAAAGTAAAAAAAAATGTATTTTTTATCCAACTATTTAAAATTTAGGGGTTCGTTTGAACCCCAGCTTTTGCGTCCTCGGCCCATCTCCTGAACGTGACTGTGTTTGTGCACCGCAGTGACATCCAGAGCGTGCTCAGAGAGGACAGTGAGAAGATGCTTCTGCTGCAGCACTGCCAGCCTCGCTTTTCAGAAGTCCAGAAGAAGGAGCTGAGCGAGGTGCACCCCTGGATCAAACTGGGGGGGCTACCCAAAGCCATGGATGTCCAGGTAGAATAAAACTCTCATTTAAACCCAACACATGATGCTCCTCGCACCATAATCCAGATTTAGTCTGTGAATGCTGAGTCAGCATTCACACTGTTGTTTGCCCTGTTTTTATTTTGTTTTTGTACATTTTGGCAGTCTTAACTAACTACTTATGCACACTTAGTGTTATTTTAGCCGATCATATATCAAAATGTTCCGCTCATTCAGGACATGGGCACTTTGGCTTTTAGTGTTTGTAACATTTGCACTTTTTAAAATACTTTAGTTCAATTTAAAATATTTGTCCCATAGAAATACATTTAATCTCTTCAGTTCATTCAAAAACATTGTTTACATTGAAATCTGCTGCAGCAGACTTGCCCTAGTTCTGTCTTCCTATACTCTCAGCTTTTAGCCAGACTAGCCTCTTTTTACTTTTAGCTTTAACGATGCAGTTTCAGCTCGTTTTCTTCTTGTTATTGTTGCAGAAAATGCATTTTCTCTTGATGTTGTGTGTGATTTGCAGGGATGCTCCTGGTGTGACAGCACCTTAGAGACAGCAGGAGGAGGAGCAGAGGATCAGCCTGACTTGGACCTCAGTGATGCAGAGACAGGAGAAAGAAGAGACAGAGAGGAAACTCTGCTCTCATCTCCTGCCACGGTTCTTGTCTAAGCTTCAGCAGCCAATAGGAAGAAGGAAGACATGGAGCAGATTTGTAAAGCGATTGTTGTTCGTCAAAACTGTGAAGAACAAACTTTAAAAGAGGAAAATGCCTTCAGTGAGCCCCACAGGCCCCGTCTGATGCTTTTGTAATATGTAAATATACGTGTGGTGAGCATCAGATTGCTTCTTATTCTACATCTGGCAGGATTGTTTTCTTGCTTACTGGGGCTCGATGACTTTAGTTATTTATTCGTATGTTCATTTTTTCTCTTTGTTGGACGTTGTGGTGTTGCACCTAGAAAGCATTTTGTTGCACAGATCAGGAGCTGGAGGACCCGATGACACAACGTATGACGGCAGATGTCCAGCTGGAGGCCGGAGTGGTCTGTTTTAGGAAGTTTCATCAGTTACTTTAGCACACAGTGACAGCAGGAGGAGGATTTTTTTTAAAGACACGTTAAGTTTCAGTCACTTGTATTTATACAATAAAAATAAGCACAGGAGCACTTTGTGAGCTGAAATGGACAGAAATGAAAAATGGCTACAGAACTTTTTTTATTCTCATTTGCTTAATTTATGTGTTTGGCTGAATCAGTCATGCTCCATCTATCACCTCTTTTACATCCCAGCTTTCTTTAAAGCAAAGCACACCAAAGCTTATTCACAAAGATTCACTAGTCAAGTTTTTCTGGAAGAAGCCCGACCAGTCTGAATGGTCCATTTCTGACTGTCAAACTGTACTGGTGCACAGCTCAAAACCTGAGGTTTTACTGTGCTGGAAACGATGTTCTGATTTCAAGTGTTCGTCGTCAGAATTGAGGAAAATGTGCAAAGATTTCCCACGGAGAGGCAACACAAGCACATAATGTTGCACGTGGGAGCTTCTGAAGGGCACACATCACCGACCGCTGCACTTGAACCCATCACAGATGTGCTGCCTTCACTTACCTGACAACTGAGTCAGTTACAAAGAAATAAAGTCAGTGAGCAGGTTTTCATCTTTTAAATACGCCGAGCGTTCGTTTCAAATATGAACATCTGCAGATTAATGTTTGTGACAGTCTTTGTATATTTTTGGATTATTATTTTTTGGGAACAAAAGAGTGTAATATATTTTAAAGTTTAAAGCAAGTCTTGCTTTATAAACAAACAGGACCAAGAGGAATATTTATTGTAAATGCTATTAGTAAGCGTGCATGACACTTGATGTACTCGACGATGGATATCAAGGCCGGTTAATTTTAGGATTCTAGATCTGACATCTGAATGTGCCTGGTAATCTGCTGTAATCTGACAGCAGACATTTCCTCAATCTGTCCTCTGTCCTTCTGAGCAGACACTGACGGGGGAAATGCACCTTTGGTTATTGTGTCTTTATTTGTTCTTGTTTTATTAACCTAATGTATCAAAAATAAAATTGTTGCCTTATTTTCAGAAACATCTCTTTATTTTGACAATAATTACTAAATCTGATTTGGGCTGTTGGGCTGCAGCACAAATCACCTCATGGTTTATCAGCTGGTTAATATCTGACGAACAGGCCTACAGCTGATTTTAGTCGGTGAAACATCGCACAAAGTGTAGCCTTCTAAGCATGTGTTTGGGATGATGCTCAGCTACTACCACACAAAATTTGAGCCTACTATCTGTAAACCTGGTTCTATAACCATTTTTGTGTTGGATATATTTGATTGGCTTTAGCAGCCATCTTGAATTGGGTTGCCTCCAAAAGTTAATGAGCTGTAGAGGTTTAATTAATGATTACTTCTTGAAAGTTTCATTAAGATCCGCCCAGTGGTTCAAAAGATATTTTGCTAACAGTCAGGCAGAGCTGACTAATAATAGCATATCCACGTGATAGATAATGTGTTTGGGATGACTCTCAGCTACCACCACACCAAATCTCACTGTTGTTGTCAACTTTTTAGTTATTTTCTGTTTAGTTGATTGGTTGTAGCGGCCATCTTGAATTGTCTTATGAAGTGTTTCAATAAAATAATAGTTCACGATATATTTTGCTAACACACGTACACGCGCAAAAACACCAATGGCAAGGGCATCGTGGGAAAGGAGAACTTCCGCACTTTGAATTTAAATGTTTACCTAAGAAAGTCGTGATTTGTCACCTTTCTGATGCAAATGACGCTCGGAGCAGGAAAGCTGTGATCCTCTGACGGCTTCAGATCTGGATCAAAGCCGACCCTGCACCGCTTTCCTCCGTTCACACCTTTACGCTTTCAAGACGAGGCGCGAATTAACAGTTCAAACGCTCACGGACCTATTTCTCACGGCGGAAGGATCCATTCAAGGCTAACTATCCTAAATATTCGGATGCATGATCTATAATCCAGGTAGAAAAATCTAGAAATAAATTAAATGTGGTCCTCTGGACGGGTTCAAAAAAAGAAAATATTAATCTAATGAGTACTTCATGGGTCGTTGATCTGCAAGCTAATATTTAGAGGAGTGGAGCAGGATCGTGTCCCGTCCGCTCTTCACACTTGAACACTATAATGCTCAAAATTAAATAAATAAACAAAACATTATGAAATAAGAAACATTTTCATTTTTATTATTTTATTTCATGATTGTGTTTTTCGTGATGGCTTATTTATTTCATAATGAAAAACACAGTGGCTGAAAGGTTGAAGAGTTCAAAGTTCAAAGAGTCTTCCTGCTGCGGCCATTATTTTACATGACCTAATCCGGCTTCCTAAATAAAAATCACTTTCTTCTTTTGTTTACTGCAGCTCAGATGAGATGAATTAAATGCATTTATTGTTTTTTTTTTTAATGCAATGAAGAAAAACAGCTTTACACAATTTACAATAAATTAACTGCAGAGGATGGTTCATGCTTTTTGTTTAAAAACTCATAAAGAAACAAAAACTGCACATTATTCATTCTAGAAGTGATGTATTATAAAGTGAAGCAACTTTTGTGAGTTTACCATGTGGAAAAAAGCCAAAATGTCTAAAAATGGAGTGATGACCCATGACGACCATGAGAATCCATTTTGATTAAACTGAATTTACACTCAGATTTGTTGAGAAGGCAAATACGCATATTCTTTTCTTTGACCTACATTTCTAAGATGTATAATGATTTATCTAAACGACTGTGGTGTACACTTTCAACTTACACAATTTTATTAAGTTCAGAACAATCTGTTCATGTTAAAATTCATAATTCACTTCAGTTCAGTTTATATAGAGTGCCAAGTCACCACAGAAGTCATCTCAGGGAACAGAAACATTCATATAATAATAATAATTTAATATTATTTTTCTGAGGAGCAGACTGCTTTGAATTTAACTTCATCACAGACTCTCATCTTGAGCAAGCATGAAGGCAACAGTGGAAAGGAAAAACTCCCTCATGAAGAAGAAACCTTTAGCAGAACCAGGCTCAGGACAAGCAGCCATCTGGTTTGAGAGGAACAGATACACAATGGCAGGTCAAGAACCACATGCTAAGATAGAAATAATGAAAACTAGTCATTTGTAACAATTCATTTTAAAAAATGTGGTCATCTTGTCCTCCAAGCCTATAGCAGCATAAAGCCAACCCTAACTATAGGATTTACAAGTCTCAGTCTTCTAGGCCCAACGTTTAAGTACTTTGTGTAAAGGGTACTTCACTATAATCCAAGTGCTCAATGTGTTAGCTTTTATTTTTTTGGCATTTCCCTATTGTTGGAGAGCTTAGGGTTGTGAAAAAGCTTGACACTTTAAAAAGAACCCCCTCCAACAGAGGATGGGTCTGAACTTGCCTATTGTATAATGCACGTGCCTTTCAGTTTATGACAAAAAGGAAACTTGATCATTCCAAAGCTGTAAAAACACCTCGAGTTCTGAACAAGGCCCAAAAAAGGAACAATTACTCATTTCACACCTCCCAAATGCCTACGATGTGCTGACAGATACACAAACTGGAGCAACTGCACAGTACTATAAAGTGTGGGTGATATTAGTGGGATCCTTGTGTGTGTGTGTGTGAAATTTAACTAGTTTTAAAGAGTGCGCAGCACAAACAGAACTTCAAACAAGCCTCCAAGAAATATTTTTATTGAAAAGCTGAGAACAAATCAGAGGAGATATAACTCACTAAGTGTTTCGCATCTATAAATACAGAAATTGACTTTGAAAAACACACATGTAATTATCAGGAGTCTTCGAGGCTCAATGGGAACTAACCTGTATAAATAAAAGTTTAATAATAATAATACAGTCCAGCACATACAGAGTATTATGTACTTTGGGTTCAGTATTACTACCACAAAAACAAAACAAGAAAACATCTCATAGCAAATACAGTACATATACAAGTACATATTTACAGATTTATGGCAGGTCCAATCTGTTACCAATACAATATTTTAATTATTAAATAGTTTAATTGTACAAAAAGTTACAAAAGAGCTTTGTAGAAACAAGTTGTCATCAGTGTTTTGTTGCCTTTTCCCCACACATATCGTGGAAACTTTTAAATTAGTTTAGGACCAGGGTCTCCATAAGGACCTGAGCTCACAGAGGGAGGAGGAGCCGCTCGGCTCCGAGTCCGTCTCTTCCGGGTCAGAGAGGTCATCCGTGGAGGAAGGAGATGGGGACACCAGGGTGCTGTCCACGCAGTCGGACCGGGGCCCAGCGCCGGTGCAGGCGGGGTGATTGTCCTCGTTAGCTCCGCTGTCTGGCAGCATCTCCCGGAGCTCGTCGTTCAGGGGCATGCGCTCCAGGAGCTGGTTCAGCAGCTCCGCCGCTACCGCAGGGTCCATCCCCGGGCAGCTGGACACAAACGTGTGCACGTCGTGCATACACTGGATGTAGCCGGCGGCAAAGTGCTCACCAGCCTCCCGGTTCAGGGCGTCCACCACTAGAGACAACCAGAGCAGAGACGACATTTAAAAACCAAACTAAACGGCTACTCTGCTCTGATTGGCTGAGCCGTGGTCGATGAGCACGTGCGCCATCATTTAGCGGATCAATCCGCGAAAAACGTTAGAACTATATTTCTGGGCGCAAGAAATACGTCTTGAAGTTAAACGCTTTATGTGCAAGTAAAATATATATAATTAAATTGTTATGAATGTTGGCAAAAGCCATTGTGATGAATATATTCGAATAATACCTTGAGCACGGTTTTGTAGGATGCCTTCTACTTGTTTCACCGTCACTTCCAGCACTTCGGCGTTCTCCATCTTCGCCTGTTAAAAAAAACAAACAAACAAAAAAAAAAACACATCAAGCTAACTTAGCTTAATTGGGACACATGGAGGTTTAATGCTTAAAAGCTGCGAGTTGTCCTACATCTGAGTCCGTGATGAGAAGTCTGAGTTCCTGCAGACTTCCATTGATGCGAGTCCTCCTCCTCTTCTCGACCAGAGGTTTTCTCATCTGTAAAGGTAAAAGTGTCCGTTTCAAACCGCAGGGCTGTGATGATGGCGCAGAGAAATAAAATGTCCACCCACGGCTTACCTTTCTGTCAGATTTACCCCCGGGCTCGCCTCTTCCCCTGCTGTCTGTGCTGCTGCTAGTTGGAGCCATCTGTGCCTGAAGTGTGGGGTGGAGGCTGGGATCCAGAGAGCCGTTGGTGCTGGAGAGGACAGATGGTCAGAGGGGGACATGTCCCGGGTGTTTATATGTCCACTCATTTGCATAAGAATGAGAGAGCTGGCTGTGATGAGTGTGTGTGTGTGTGTGGGGGGGGGGGGGGGGGGGGGTGTTCCTCTGTCTCTTTGAACCATACAATACCATACCATATCATACAATACCATACCATACAATACCATACTATATCATACAATACCATACCATACAATACCATACTATATCATACCATACCATATCATACAATACCATACTATATCATACCATACCATATCATACAATACCATACCATACAATACCATATCATACAATACCATACCATACAATACCATACTATATCATACAATACCATACCATACAATACCATACTATATCATACCATACCATATCATACAATACCATACCATACAATACCATACCATACAATACCATACCATATCATACAATACCATACCATACAATACCATACTATATCATACCATACCATATCATACAATACCATACCATACAATACCATACTATATCATACCATATCATACAATACCATACCATACAATACCATATTATATCATACCATACCATATCATACAATACCATACCATACCATACCATACCATACAATACCATACCATACAATACCTTATCACACCATACAATACCATACCATACAATACCATACCATACAATACAATACCATACCAT